CCCCGCGCCGCTCGGCCACCCTGCGCCTGCTCCCCGGGCCGCCGCTCGCCGAGCCCCGGGGTCCCCGAGTGCCCCGGCCCAGGCTTCCTGCACCCGCCCGCCGTCCCACCCGCACCCGCGCGTCTAGGGGTCCCCTCCGGCCTCGCTGGGCTGCGGGGTGGGCGGGGCGGGGACGGGGCGCGGGACAGGAACGGCGGCTTTGGATGATTTCCGGAGTGTCGAAGCTCCTCGGGAGGCCGCGGGTTTCTTTCGCCTCCCTGGAGCGATGGGTTTATTCACTTAAAAAAACAAAAAAAGTCCAAGCCAGGGCGAGAAAACCGAGGGCATGGCCGGGCATGGCCGGGCTGGGAGGCAAAGAAAGAAAGTACTGTGGAGCAGTGCGCCCCGCGAGCGTCCGTGCTGCGGGTGAGAATGAGCGGGACCGAGAGCGCCCTCCCCCGTCACCACTTCCCTACCCACTGGGTGTTTCTCAGCCTGAAGAAACAGCCTGGAACCCACAGCCACCATGCGAACTGGAGGACCTGTCCCGTGACACAGGGACCCCGGTCCCCTGGGGACTCGGATAATGTTTATAGTCATTTCCTGGTGTCGGCGTCAAATTCCAGAATCCTTCCAAAAGCAGATGAGGCCCTAAACGGTGTCTTCAGTGGCCTTTGGCACCCAGGCTTGGTCCTCTAAGGCCAGCTGATTTTGTTCTCCCAAGAAGACCGTTTCCCAAGTAAAGGAGCAGCCCAAGGGTAGACCCCTCCAGTTTGTCTCAGAAATGCTAACTGGGCTGTCAGGACGGAGGGGTACACGAGGAAACATGGCAGTCGGGATGGGTTGTGCCAGACCACGGTGTGCCTGTGCCGGGCCTCTGGATCCTCTGGCTCAGGCGATCTCGTCTGGATCTACCACTGTCCACGGCCAAAATCCTTCATTAGCTGACTGGATGGTGATTCCAGGGGAACTGGCAGAGGCCGTCTGCCCTGTGAGTCCCCGATGTGCCCTGCTGGGCTCTCCCAGTGCCTGGGCTTGGCAGCTGCGGGGATCTGGCTGGGAGGCTGTTCTGGGTCCCCTGCTGAACTTCGGGTGTGGCAGTGTGGGTCTCATGTGTGCCAGGCTGTCTGCTGCAGTCCAGACCTAAATGCCAGGAACTAGAAGCCATTCAGCCCCAGGGCTCCAAAGACTTAGCAGGAAAGCCTGGCCTACAGAGGCACGGTGAGTCGCATGTGTCAGTTGGGCTTGGGAGGAAATGTCTTTGCCTTGTTTTGGGACACTGTCTCTGTCTCCCTTGTTGTCTATGTAGGTGGCACAGGCCTCTGCCCCAAAGCCTGCCCCCTCCTTCTCAGTTTTACTATTTAGGCAAGAATCTTTATATCCGTGTACAAGGACAGTGATCCGTGGCAAGAGCCTGCACCTGGGCTCTTTCCCAACCAACTGGCTGTGCTGCTTTGGATGACTAATACAGTTGCCTCATCTGTAAATGCACATAATAACATCTTCCCGGTTAAGGCAGAGCATTGTACCAGATGAACACTTAAGATACATGGTCACTTCCTGTCAGTCTGTGATTACAGGGGGACAGCAAAACTTGGAGATAAGTTTAACTTCCTTTTTTCTTTATCTCCAAGAATGAAGCACACTCTGGCTGGGCACTGTGGCATACACCTGTAATCCTAGTGACTTTGGAGGCTGAGGCAGGAGGATTGAAAGTTGGAGGCCAACCTCAGCAACTTAGTGAGATCCTGTCTCAAAATAAAAAAAGCTGGTGATGTAGCTCAGTGGCAGAGCCTCCCTGGGTTCAGTCTCTGGTTCTAATGCATAAACAGAAAGGCAGGAAGCAGCCCGTGTTTTCAGTGGCTCCTGGAGACGGTGCCTCCCCTTGGCTCCCTGCTGACTGCTGGTTCCTTTTGATGGCTCTGCTGATGGGCATTTCAACTTGGAAGTGGGGAGAATGGTGCTGAAGTGGAGAAGAGCTTTCTGTGCAGGTGGCAGCTCTGAAACATCAGTCATATCACCTCACGCCGAGCAGTGTTAGCTTCGTCCCCTGCTTGGTCCCTTCCTGGGCCAGGTGTTTGCAGCAGGCTCTTCTAGCTGCTCGTCCGAGCAGGCTGGTTCTCTGGGTGACAGGGCTTGTGGGAGGTCAGAGTCCTGCTAATGCCCAGGTGTACTGTGGCGACCTGGGGGTCAGAGTCTGGAAGATGGAGCCAGTGCTAAGTCCAGAAGCCCTTCAGAGAGACCCGCAGCTGTTCTCTCTGGGGAAGGGCCCGTGCTTTCTGGACTGAGGCCTGCCTGTGCCTGGCTCTGACTTCCTGTTTTCTCTGCGTGCCTGCTGTCTCAGTCTGATCCAGACTCTGGCATCCCCACCGAATGTGACAGAGAATGTGGCCCTCATGCTGAAGGCTTGCTGTGTCACTGGAGGGGCTGAGGGACCCGTCTCTGTGCTGGCTCAGGGTTGTGTGCGCGGCCAGGGCAAACTTTACCTCTGCTCCCTGCTGGTGACTCCTGGGGTCAGAGGTCCCTTCTACTGATGTGAGGGTCGGGTCCCTGGCAGCAGGTGGCAGGCGTGGCTTCCCTGGCCCGTAGCAGCAGCGTTGTTCCGAGTCCTGCCGATGCCATTTTGTCGGCCTGTTAGGTGTGTCTGCTCTTGTCTCTTGGGGAGTGCTCCCAGGTGGGCCGAATAATGGCCTGGAACATACTCTGAATGCCTCGTGCTCGAAGAAAGCCCAGGATTCAGGGGCACTGGGCTCACCTACGTTACCTGTCATCCACTCTTGGCTTGAATGTCCCACATGTGGACTCTCCTGTGGACTCTGCCTGGGGTGGCCTTGCAGGCCTGTGTGAAGGCTCTTTCCTCGGGTAGCCAGGCTGCCTGCAGACCTGCTGCGGGTGCCTTTGACCCAGGGAAGCACACCAGGCTGGGTCAGCAGATGCCCAGGACCCCTAGAGTCCCAGCCCTGCCCATAAAGTGCCAACCATCCCACCGTGGAATGTCAGCACTCATGAACACTGCAAAGTGCATGCGCGCGCGCACACACACACACACACACAAGCCCAAACCAAAAAGCAATCCCCAGGCAGCAGCTGCTTCTACCCCAGAGGTGGAAAGCTTCCCAGTGGCGTTCCTGACACACATTGCCACGTGGCCGCAGAGGGAGGAAGGGGCGGAGGTGCATCTCTGTTTTATAATTTCCTCTGGGGGTGTGTGCGTGTGCACTTAAAGACTGCTTCCGGACGGAATCCCAAGGAGATTTCTGTTTGTACTTTGGTTGCCTTGACAACAGCTGGAGATTTCTGTCACTTCGTCCACAGCTGGGTGCGTGGTGAAGGCGGCCCAGCACTTCCCTGGTCCTGGGGGAGCTTGACCTCTGTGCGCAGCTGTGTCCCGGCTCATCAAAGAGCTGTCACACACCTGGGGTCTGCTGGGACTCTGAGTGGTGGAGATTTCAGATTTGTACAGGGCTGCGCAGTGGAAGGACTCTTTGGTCTCATGGACACTAGGGCCCCAGAGTGGAACGGGTTTCTGTTTACCATGACATGGAGCAGTCAGAGCTGTGTGGACTCTTTGGGGCCACCACAGGCGCTCTCCTGAACTGAAAGTCCCCGAGGAGGGTGCACAGGTTTGTTAGAGTTCTTGCAGCTGGAACTGATGTGGAGCGTAGTGGGTGGGGCGAGGCATCTTAATCCATTTTCTGTTGCTGTAACAAAATATCTGAGAATGGGTGCTTTTTAAAATGGGAAGGTTTATCTAATTCATGATACTGATGGCTGGAGGGTCCTAAGAGCATGGCATTGCCCCCAGCTGCCTCACAACCTGGTGGAAAGGACAGGGAACTGGCCCTGTTGCAAGGGGTCAAGTGTGTTCTCGTGACAACTCACTCCAAGAGACCAGCATTCATCCCTTCCCAGAGGT